TTCCATTTTGCCCATGTGATGACTAGTATGGCTAGTTGACATCAAAGTGCAGATGCCAGTTAGGTAGTTAGGTACGTGACTTTGCCATTCAGAAAGGAGACTGGGACTGTAGATTTAAAAGTAAGAGTCTTTAGGGGCGCCTGGGTGGCTCAGTAGATTGAGCGTCCTACTTTGGCTTGGGTCATGATCTCGTGGTCTGTGAGTTCGAGGCCCGCATCAGGCTCTGTGCTGACAGCTCAGAGCCTGGAGCCTGCTTCAGATTCTGTGTCTCCCTCTCTCTCTGCCCCTCCCCTGCTCATGCTCTGTCTCTCTCTCTCTGTGAAAAATAAATAAACATTAAAAATTTTTTTTAAAAAAAGTAAGAGTCTTTTGCTTACAAATTCCACTGGAATGGGTGAATTCTCTATGGAGACACTATAAAGAAACCAAGAGAAGTAAGAATGGGTCCTGTGACATATTAAAATTTACAGTCCTGATGGAATTGCAGACAGCAAGTTACTCAAGATGTAGTGTTAGGTGGCAGAAAAAGAAAGGGACTGTGAGTCACAGAAACCTAAAGATACATGAGTTTCAGGAAGGATGGAGAGGAGATCAATGACAAATGCTACCAAATGCAAGGCATCAAATAAATAGGGATAGAGAAATCTGGATCAGAAATCATTTTGCTGCAAGCTACAAAGATCCCTCTGAGATTATCTTAAACAACAGAGGGCTAGTTGCTTAACATAACAATATGCCTAGACCCTGGGCTATTCTAGGGTTTCTTTCTTTTTTTTTTTTTTTAACGTTTATTTATTTTTGAGACAGAGAGAGAGAGAGCATGAACAGGGGAGGGTCAGAGAAAGAGGGAGACACAGAATCTGAAACAGGCTCCAGGCTCTGAGCTGTCAGCACAGAGCCCGACGCAGGGCTTGAACTCACAGACCACGAGATCATGACCTGAGCTGAAGTCAGACGCTTAACTGACTAAGCCACCCAGGCGCCCCTATTCTAGGGTTTCTTAATTCAAAGGGTCAACAACACTACCAAGAACCAGATATTCTCCATTTTGTTTTTCTGCCATCCTCAGAGTGTAGACAAAGTCTTTTTAGGTATTAGCAAGATGATTATACATCTTCAAAACTTCATGTAGACATAATCCCGTCTAAGAAAGGAGGTTTTTTTTCTTCTATTCTGTCTTTAGTAGGAAGTGCCCAGATATGCCCCCACTAAAATTTTACTCAAAATCCACTAGCCTTGACTGGTCTTAAATCAGTCTATACCAGTCACTGTCAAGAAAAATAGAATTACTTTTTCTTTTTTGTTTTGACCAATTACAATTCACATCCCAAGGACTGGGACGAGGTCTGGTTATCTCCTGTATCACATGAGAAAAATAACCAAATGTAATAAAAGACTTAACTAAAATAAGAGGAAGATGAAGACAAAAAGGAAAAAGGAAGGAGTGAAGAATAGGAAGAAAAGGAAGGGGAGGAAGTGAGGTACAAGAAGAAAAGTGGGGATGGAAATATCTTTGGGATAGATAATCAGCAGTATCTGTATCACAGTTTTATAAAGACAATTTCAGTGGAGGATGGGATTAAAAGTTCTATTAAAGCAACTGCAGAGAGAAGGGGAGGCCAAGAACACAAGACAGTAAATATAGACAATATTTTTAAAAGGTTTTTATACACCAGAGAAAACAAACACAATAGTTTCCAAAGAAGGATATAGGGTCAAAGAAGTTTGGGGTTGGTTTCAGGTTTGTTTTAGGATGGGTGATTTTGTGCCATTTGTATGTCAGTATGAATGAGCCTAAAACGGGAAAAATTTTGATGTAGGAAATATGCAGGGGCCAAGTCCTTGAGAAAAGGAGTTGGAAAGGAATCTAAGACCTTAGCAGTAACAAAAATAAAGTTCATCTTTTATTTTTTTATTTTTTTAATGTTTATTTATTATTAAGAGACAGAGAAACAGAGCATGAGCATGGGAGGGGTGGAGAGAGGGAGAGACACAGAATCTGAAGCAGGCTCCAGGCTCTGAGCTGTCAGCACAGAGCCCGATGCGGGGCTCAAACTCACAAACAGCGAGATCATGACCTGACCTGAAGTCGGACACTTAACCAACTGAGCCACCCAGGCGCCCCTAAACTTAATCTTTAATAGATGGGTAATTCAGTAGTTGGGTACAAATGCTAAATAGATGATTAAATTGTTAAAAGATAAGGTAGTTCAGATCCAATGGTATCTGTTTTTTCTACAAAGTAAGCTTCACTGGTATGAAGAGAGTAGACAGATGTAAAGGGGATGCTTGAAATTTGGGGACAGAGGGTAAGAATTAAGAGTCTCTGAGAGGGAGGAAGTGTATTGATCAGAGAAGTATTATGGGGCAGGTAGGCAGAGTACAGTTTGTTTTACTGTGTACAAAGTGCTTTCCACAGGGCCTAGCACCTAGGAAGCATTCAACAGGTATTTGTATTATGTATTCATTGCTTTATTTTTCAATGATGGTGAAGGCTCTGGATATTAAGTGTTCACTTCATGACAGACACTGATCTAAGCACTTCTTTAAAAAAACAAATTGCATTTAATCCTCACAATGCCCTTATATGGTAGGCGCTATTTTTATACCCATCTCCTAGCTTAAGAGAGAGAGAACAGCAAGTAAGTGACAGTGCGAAGCTTTGAACCGAGTCAGCCCGATTCCAGATTGCCCGCCCTTCACCACCATTCTATGCGGCAATTCACAGAGGAATAGATAAGGCCAGGAAGTGAAGACACAGCTTGGTGGTGTGTATGAGGGCACAAGAATCTGGGGTTTTGAAAAAGGAAGGAGGAGAGACAGGCTGAAGTGACAGCAGGGAGCAAGGCTTACGAGACACAGAAGCATTTCAAGCATTTCCGACCAAAAGAACAACATGAAAAAACAACTTCAAATTTGGGCAACCAGTGGGCTTGGCAGTTCCTTAGGGTTCTGTCCTTGTCATTGTATTTTTATCCCAGGGAGAGGAAGTTCTTGCAAAGTCCTTGCTCTCTATCCCAGCCTTGCTAAGAATCATACGAAGTTTAGGATGAGGTTATCTTAACCTGATAAGAGGATATCAAAGTAAATTTTATTTTTGGAGGGGGGTGGGGGTGGGATGGTTCTCAGACCAATACCCACATGAAAGTAGTTTTTAAAAAACAGAGGAAAAACTCTCAAATTTAGAGACTCTTCTGCTATGCGAGATATTGTAAATAATGAAATTAGGTACATATCTTCGAATTCAATTTTCCATGATAGTTTTGAGAATAAATAAATAAATTGAACACTTTTCAAAACCAGCCAGTATAGATCAGGGGTAAGTCAGCAAAGTGCAGCCTATGGGCCAAATCCAGTCCACCACCTGTGTTTGTATGGCTTAAGAACTAAACGGCTAAGAACTAAGAATTACATGTTTAAATGACAGGGGAAAAATCAAAAGACAAAGAATATTTAGTGATATACAAATACTATACAAAATTCAAACTCTAAATGAAATAATTAAAATCTCATTACATGTCAGCATTAATAGATGAACACTTGCAAACTATTTTGAGGATGGGGACATCAAACCCAGTTAAATGAAATGTTATCCCCTCCAAAAGAATTCGATTCTTTTCATTCCATTGCAAAAAAAGTGTATTCAATGATTATTATATTTTTAATTTCATCAGTGAAATATAGTGGAAATTTGTTTTCTCTCATGTTATATAAGTACCTACAAAATCTGCTCTATTTTATTTCTTAGCCTAAAAAGTTTAAAAGTATTGACTTTTGGTAATAGATAAAGGGTAGACAAAATTTACATTACTATAGGTAACATAGTATAAATATAGCCATTTGATCACATATCCCTTCAGCCAACAGACATTTATTGAGCACTGGAAACTATCTTGGTTGCTGAGGATACAAAGTTGAAAATATATGCCTTTTACTGTCAAGAAAATCACAGCCTTATTTTATCGTTGTGGAAATTCTGGTAGAATTTAAGCACAAAGGATTTCTACAAAATTCTCCTTCAAATGAATATGCCCTCCACGTTCTCCCACTCAATCTCCATTTTTTATTGGTTATTGGATTTTTTATTTCTATATAACTTTAACTGATTCACTGTTTTTCAACCCAGGATAAAAAGTGGGAGTTAACAAATGTGACATCGCTCCCCTGTCTTTAAGCCCACTGGAATATCTTGTGACCTCTCCTTCCTATGCTTAACCCCCATTATGTCATTTAATTTGTTGGGGTGCTAGCATGCCACTTGAATAAAGTCTTCCAAGGTATGTGTCTTGCCAAGTGGAACTGAACATTGTCTATCACTGTTGCAACTGCATCGCTCACACATAGAAGCAAGACCCAAAGTCATTTCCATATTTTTCGGTAGCTAACTCTTATCCTTTTCTTTCTAAATTGCCTCTGACATCAATAGCCCTACAGGATTTCAGTGTGGGTTTAGGAGACTGAACAACCAATGAATATGGGGCATTCTTATAGCATGCAATCATAACTTGTGCTTAGCTTTCATAACAAAATCTTGTCCAAAACCATCTCAAAGAAGCCAAAACCAATCCAAAACCACTTCCTAGGTCCATATTGCATAACAAGTGGATATGTTCTTTCCCACCACATGATGAAAGGCCCTAGGTGCCTAGATGCCTAATCATGTGAATAGTGAAAGTAGTTGTCTATTAGGTCCAGGCTACAAAAATTGTAAGATTTCTGGGTCCATGCTATTTAGTAAACATTCTTCTATTCACATCCATTGCTATTCCTTCTCTGACTCCTGAGAAGAGTGTTGCTTTCTCTCTTCCCTCACATCCTAATAAAACTTTGTGGGATTTGGCAAGGGGAACTTAAGGCTTTCACTTAATTAATACCGATAGATCAAGAAACAGAGGAAAATGTGAATGAATATTTAAGAGCTGCACTGATAGAAACAATAGAAATTGGGACATGAAGCTTTTTAACATTAAACTATTTTTCTCATTTCCCAAGGAACTTACCTCCCTAAGCTCTGTCAATACTGTTGAGCTCATGTGTCTGGGAAATAGCAAGGATTTGGGAATGCTCACTTGGCTCAGTAATCACATCTTTCCGAAATGCCTTCTGTGGTAGCAGCAGAGATTCTCTGGATTCTGAGTCCATGGGAGGAAGCCTCCATTCCTTTCCTTGTGGATTTACCAATACACAGAACTGGGAGGTCTCCATGCTGACGCCCACTGCACTTTGTACAGAGGGGGAGGGTTTGGACAGTGCTGGAATGGCAAAGGAGAAAAGAATGAATTAAAAGCTCAAAGGGACAGAAATTAGAGATTTTTTTTTTAAGTAAGAGAAAAAGTAAGTGTGCATGGAGGGCAGGGTTGCATGTAAACACAACGACCAGGGGTCCAGATCATGCGAAGTTATTCTAAGTAGCTCCATAACCTGTTCCACCCCACCATCCAACCAAAAGAAGGTCATTTCTTCTTCATAATGACTTATTATGGTCTCTACAACTGCCAGTATTATCAAAATTCTTTAAAGGCATAATGAAAGAGATATGTATTTTAACTTAATGAAGCCAATCTGATGTCATTTTGGTAAGAAAATAACATAACAAAATTATTAAATAGATTTCTGAGATCTATACCCACCACCATCAAAAGAAGAGTCTTCAAATAATCGCGCTTTGTGCATCCCACATCTCTGGGAAGATATCATTCCCTAGCCTTCATCAGAAACCTAAAAAATTCTTTATCTCCCCCAAACAAAGATATAAGGAATAACCAAAGTGTGCAATTTCTATCTCCTAAATATCTCTCAAATCTGCCCCTTCCTTTGTATCCATACTGCCACAACTTGCATCAAGATCAACCCATCTCTCATCTATATTTCTGCTATAAACTAGGTGATCCTATTTGCTGATTCTCTTCAGAGACCTTTCTAATTTGTAGATCTGATCTTGTCACCTTCTTGCCTAACTTGCCTTTGGGTCTCCCACAGCCTTCAGGATAAAGTTCATTCTTATCTCCATCTTTACAGCACACTTGTTTAGTGGCCTTTGCAGAACAAATCCCAGCATGGCTTTAGTGACATGCTCTGCCATCGTGACATTTCTTCCAATGTTTTATGCTGTCTCATACCTTTGCATCTTTGTTGTAATACTGGATATTCTTGCCTATATGTCTCATGAAACTGTGTCCTCCATAAGCATAGGAAACATGTCTTCTTTACTGTTATAGCCATGACATTTGACATAGTGTCTGGCACATGGTAGAATGGGACAAAAGACCAGTAACTTTTAAATCAAGTTAACAATTCCAAAAGGAAGGATTATTTGCTGGCTGAGTACAGACATCACAGGGCTGAGGGTGTAGTTATCTTGACAGTCATAAGAAAATGTAAAGGTCTCAAAACTGTGGGCCAAGAGGAGTAGGACAGGGTGAGTGATAGGCACCAGAGGGGGAAAAGTGCTTAAAAACAGTCTACTGCATAATTTTGCAGAAGGCTGGCCCTGATGTGAAGGGTGGCTCAAAGGGAACTTGCTGCCTGACACAGGCGTAAAGAATACCAATTATTTTCCTCTTAAGTAGGGCCAGACCAACTCCACAGAAAACCAGAGAGGATGGACACAGCATTCCTGGAAGGAGCTGATGGTGCTGGTGCCATCAGCTGGGTTGCCTAAGGAGACACGCTGCAGGAGCCACCCAGCTGAAGGCTGGTACACCACAGATGGGCATGCTTCTTGGAAAAGACCTGTGGCAATTAGGAATTCAAGCTGAGCCCCAACTTTTAAGATGAAGCCTTCTAATTTTCCTTTTCCCTCCCCTGAGCTTCTTCCAGGAAACCTGCCTTGTCCTCTGCTGTGGTTAGGAAAGATCAAATGTGCCTTTTACCGAAAGGCAAGCTTTCCTCTCCTCTTGGCTCCTTCATGTGAACCCGCATGCTCACATAGGGACGCTCCTGGGTATCTGACATGGAGCGACCTCCACTCTGTATCTATCTATGATCCTTCATGCAGAATGGGAAGTCACAATGTCACAGTGCAAGGCCAGATCAGACAGCCTAAGATGGTTAATGATGACAGAATAATGCGACCATGAAAACCACTTTGAACAGAATTTTTTTCTGAGATGCATTTTAAGTGCAGACAACTTTTAGATACTTTTGTGCTATGCCTTCATAATTTCACTCATGCTAACTAATTTTGTAGCCAAAAATGATACCAGGAGAATTAGGGAGAAGGAGAAGGACAGGAGAAGGACAAGGACAAGGAGAAGGACAAGGAGAAGAAGAAAAGGCATGGCCTATCCTACTAATTAAATAACAATTGGTTTTTGGAACAGGAGAAAGAAATTTGACCCAATCTTTTCACCCCATATTCCAAAAAAATTTCCAAACTTGTCAAGGCTTGTCCTGCTTCCCATGGGCACACAGCATAACCTTCTAGCAGGTTTCTTCTATATACCTACTTCCTCCATTCTCTCCAGCACTTTAACTCTCACACCATAGAATCATTCCCCTTCCACTTCTGTCCCTCTCATCAGCTTGTGAACTCCTGGAAGATAGGAATTTATACCAGATTTTTCAACTTCTCACCATTAGGTCACTCTTTTCTTTGAAATACTCCTTCCTGTGTGTCACTGCAGGGCTGTAAGCTCATCATGGGCAAGGATCATGGCTTATTTCAGTGCATAGAAGTCAAAGAATGTGTAAGTACTGACTGCTTGTCTAATTTGGCCAAAACGTTGGTTGGCCACATACTGCCATGTCCAAAGTTTGCATGCAAAAGCACTGTTGCTCTTTTCTGAAACATTCGTTTTTGTCACATTAAGTTAAATATCGCAGATGGAAGGATTTAACTACCTCAGCCCGTGAGAGGGCTATGAAGGTGCAGGTGTTGTTAGCACTTAACAGGATTTTGAACTTGAGGCAGTATGCAGTGGTGATGATGATCTAGGTTATTTCTCACCCAAGACACTCATAGAAAAATATCCACAGAACTCAATCAGTGGCGCCTTTGAGGCTAGAAAAGCTAGGTAGTCCTGGAAATGGAAGGACCATGAGGTCATGATAGAACAGTCATGAAGGGAAATGTACTGTGTTTTATAAATCACAGGGTTCCTGACCCAAGGAAGAACTCAATTTCTTTGACGATTCCACAGTATTTTTAGCCATAGAGTTGGTTAGTTCCTTGTCTGAATAATATTCCTCCTTTGTTTACTTAACTCCTGATTCTTCCTTCCTTCCTTCCTGCTGTGAAATGGTATGTTTACTGTGTATTGCTAAATCACTACCATATTTACTTGTGTTTTATTGCCACGGCACTCACAACCCTTTTTTTCCTCCAATCTGTAAGGAAAAAACATAACTTGAGAGAGAGAGAGAGAGAAAGAGAGAGAGAGGAGAAAGAAAGAAAGAAAAGAAAAGAAAAGAAAGAAAGAAAGAAAGAAAGAAAGAAAGAAAAGAAAGAAGAGAGAGGAAGGCAGGCAGGCAGGCAGTAGGAAAGAAAAAGAGAGAAAGAGAAAAGCTTGGCTTTTACATGAGCAGAAATGTTTCATTTTATTTACTACTACATTCTGAGCACTTTCAAGTTATCAGGTATTATTAAGCACTTACCATATATTATCTCAGTTCACACTGATCACATTGATAGCCAGATACCTGTTATTACCCTCAGTTTTATTTACAGGGAAATAAGCACAGAGAAGCTTTCCCAACATCATCTGCTAATATATGTAAAGACAGAATTTGAACCCAGGTCGGTGGGACTCCAAACTTTAACTCATAGCTAATAAACTTCTATTATCTTCAAGACCGATGACCATGTTCATCAGTTTCAAAGACATCACTTGCCTGAGAGAACTGAGTATCACACAAGACCACAGAAGTCATAGGTTTCCTCATCTTACTGATGATATAACAAAGACTTAAAGAATTTAAATAACCCATGTAAGATGTCAAAGCTGCTTTGTGCTATCTCAAATCAAAACTAGGTTTTCTTGTCTTCCTGTTGGTCTCTTACCCTCATAACAACAGTGATTGCTCGTGCCTTTATATCTTTATCATGGTTTTTCTGTCGAGCACTATTTCTTTTTCCTCACTTAAGAAGCTCTGTGTTTGGCAAAGGAGAATGAAACATCTCAGAGGGCTCTGTCCAAATATATCATTTGAGGCTATTGTGCACACACTGGATCCATTAAACCTTTTGGATGCTTAAGACATCTTGGTTATGAAAGATGATTATGTAAATGAAGATGCTAATTCACACTTTCTCACTTTATAAATTACCCCTAGGAATTCACTTGGCCGGTGGATGAGACAAAATACAAGCCAGGCCAACGCTAGGCCAACTTCAAATAGGCGTATTTGTTTTGGATGACTTCCTGTGTCCCCTCCACCCTTCCCCCACCTCCTAGCATTCATCTTCCCTGCTCAGCTGTCACCTGCCCTTTGGCTGCCTGAGCACACACTGTACCAACTTCTCTCTTTCTTACCTCCACGACTCTCTCTTCCCCTCTCCCCTAGCTCTCCTTCCCTAAGCTGGATGATCTCCCTCAAGGTTTTCAGGGCTCTATCCTTTTTTCCTATGCTCTTTCCTGTCCTTTTCCCTATATTCTGAGAGCATTTGTGACCTTCCAATACCTCCTTCAACCTACTCCCTACAGAAGAATTCCACCAGAATGGGGCATTGCCGTAACCTTTGGATCTTTCCTCTTTTTCATGACTACCACCTGGTCAACACTCAGCTGTCTGAATACCATTCCTTCATGTCCTGCTCTTTCAGGTGGTTAAGACAATTAACTACTAATGTCACTACTAATATTAGTTAATAATTAATAATAATAACTTATTGGTAGTAATACTCTTGTTGATATTAATATTATTATTAATTTCCTTAAAAGAAACCAATACACCAATCTCTGCCGTGTGAACTTCCTGATATGTTACCTCATATAGTAATCAAATTCAAAAGTACATGTGAGAATCCCAAAGACCTTCTAGGAATAACTACATTTAAAGACAGGTAGCAATACTCATTCCTTTTTTTTAATTAAAAAAAATTAATTATTTTTAAGAAAATTTTTTGAGAGAGAGAGAGAGTGAGTACACATGTGCACATGCATGGCTGGGGGGGTGGTGGGGAGGGATAGAGGGAGGAACAGAGGGAAAGGCAGAGGGAGAATCCCAAGCAGGTTCCATATCTAGCACAGAGCCAGATGTGAGGTTTGATCTCACAAACTGTGAGATCACGACCTGAGCCAAAATCAAGAGT